CTTATGTTCTGTCAGCTTGATGGCCGAACCATGGATTTTTTGAGCTGTAAACGGTGTTCATTGTAGTCTCAAGTGTTGTTGATTAACTCCTGTAATTTGTAATATGTAAGTTTACTAACCCTGATTGGTGTATTTTCCGTTTTTATTCTTTTTTTCCCTATGAATTTTTTTCCGTCCTAAATGATTTGTCTCTTGTTTTGTCTGTTTACTGCTTTTTGCATCCATTTAGGAGTTTAAAAAATTGATTTTTTTCAACTCCCAAAAATTTAATTATGTCGGTTGTAAAAGTTACAAATTCATGAAATATAATCATTCAATTAATTTTTATGACATTTTCCATTGGCATCGATTTTTTTGCATCAATGGTTGTCAAATGTGTTGTCAGTTTAGTGAACGCTCGGAAACTACAGAAACTTGCTTAATGCTGTTAGTCTGTTTTTCTTAATTGGAAACTTTTGTTTTTCTTTTTTTTTGAATAATTCATTTTTGTTCCGACTTTCGATACGCAAGTAACGGAATATTTGTGCTCGGGGTGGGTTTTTTTTTCTTCAGACAAATTTCGACTTTTTAACTAGCCATTTTTGACGGAGTTTTTTATATCATTTGAAAGGTATTGTTGTCCTGAGCTTAAATTTGAAAAGATATTTCACCTGTGATCATTTTTCGTAAAGTTATGAGGGTTTAAAGATTGCCATTTTGGCCATTTTGACCAATTTGGGACAATTAAGGCGCGATATAATTCGCGCTATTAACGCGTAAGCGGAGATTTAATCCGTCTTATAAATCGTTCTAAATTGGTTGAACGAAGCTTATTTGCCATAATTGATGTGTTACAAGGAACGAAAACTATCTTTTTGTACCTTTATATGGCGTGTGGGGGGATGATTTTCATTAAAAAATTTCAAATTTTCGAATTTTTTTTTCATTTTGTTTTATTTCTTATAATGTTTTTATGTTATTACTGCTGCTCCATAAGACTTCAAAAGCAGTCGGAACATTCATTCAAAAGCAGTCGGATACGAGCAGCCTTGTTTTAAATTAGTTATTTCTATCTCACTTTTTACTGGTTACTTTGCATTGCTACCTACGCTTTCTTGTAGCGCAGTGGATGTAAAGCTCTGCGTTTCTTCTGTTAGGTGTTTGGTCATAGGTCGTGTGCAGATTAAATTTTTAGTGGTTTTCGTAAATGACTTTATTACTAAAAGATAACAAGATATAAACATGTTAGATATTTTGTACTACCAAGAGGTTTTATGAATTAAAACAAAAAATATCAAAAATGTTTTAATAAAATTGTCACCCATAGAGCTTTCTAGAGGGTTAAAGTCGTAATATCATCGGATGAAGGACTCCATTTCATTGGCGAACAAAAAGGAAGTTTACCATGGTTTGGCTGATGCTGCATTTATTTACACAAAATTGCGGTAGCAATGTGAGCCATTTTGTGAGAAATTAACAATTGCAATTTCTAATAGGACTAAAGTTTGCAAATATCAAAACCAGACAAAAGCAGTGGCGCTGTGATAATCGATCGTGCCAATTTAGTTTCAAAAATGGACATTATTTGGAAAGATAAAGGAAAGAAAGTTTAGGTCGATGTCAAATGAGGATCAAACCTGCTTAAAAGAATAGAAGCTGAGTTTTTTCTATCCACTGAGCGAAAGGGATTAGAGCTCGATCAATTCTTAGGTAGCATTGGGAGAAACAACAAAATACCTAGTGATGTTATGAAGCGTAATAGTTCTCATAGCTCAAGGCTATCTCCTGTGCATGCTTCGCCAAACAAGCTTTGCAAAAACCAAGCAAGGATAGCCGGTTACTGCTGTGCAAGTAGCACGAAATGTTCCTTCCTTAGTTTTTTAAAAATCTACGCAGATTTTTGTCAAATTAGTTTAGTTTTTTTCGTGGTGTGATAAAAGGATCTGACTTAAAAATAATTTAGGCATAGCCGACAGACATAGTAATATAGACAAGCAGTACAACAGTTTTTTTTAACAGACTAAAAAACAATCAAAAACCAATGAAAAAAAAATTCTAAACTTTTTTTAATTTTTTTTTGTAGAAATTTTTTGAATTTTTTTAAATCCCAAAATTGCAATAAAAATCTCCAAAAACTAATTTCAAGCATAAATTAAGCATAAATAAGCGTGCTCTACAATAAGTTTGCTTTACTTGTCTGATTTAAGACGAAAAATCAAAAAGTTCAAACCAGTTTTTCTCGACACTTGGAAATGCTTTCGAATATTTTAAATGGGTTCGATTTACAATTGAAAGGGCTGTAATATAATATACCATTCAGTTTTTTCCAATTATTATTTGTGGAAACTGATTTTGCAGGGAGAACATAAAAAGAAAAAGGAAAAAAGAATCAGAACACACAGGAATAGAAAGTTCCTCCCCATTTTTCAAATGATCCGTACAAAAAGCCTTTAAAACCTTTTCTTATAGCGTCACTGATTCGTACCTCCAAGTGAGGAGTTGTCAAAGTGGCATGGTTTTTGGTTGACTATATTTTGAGTTCGTGGGTTCATTTAAAAAGTTGTTCTAGCACAACACCATGGTGTTGTGCTATATTTCAGTCTTCTTTTGAGAGAGACTGGAATATAACAAGTGGGTAGGAATATAACAAGACTGGAAAATAACAAGTGGAATAAAAAAATTTTAAAATCAAAACAAGACTGCTCGTATCAGGGCGAAGCCCTGAAGGTTCCGACTGCCTTTTAAGGTTTATGGAGCAGCAGTAATAACATAAAAAATTAAATGAAATAAACAAAAATGAAATTTTTTTTTTCCAAAATTTGAAATTTTCTGTGAAAATCATCCCCCCACACGCCATATAAAGTACAAAAAGATAGATTTAGTTCCTTGTAACAAATCAATTATGGCAAATAAGCTTCGTTCAACCAATTTGGAACGATTTATAAGACGGATTAAATCTCCGCTTACGCGGTAATAGCGCGAATTATATCGCGCGTTAATTGTCCCAAATTGGTCAAAATGGCCAAAATGGCAATCTTTAAACCCTCATAACTTCACGAAAATGATCACAGATGAAATATCTTTTCAAATTTAAGGTCAGGACAACAATACCTTTTGAATGATAAAAAAAATTCCGTCAAAAATGGCTAGTTAAAAAGTCGAAATTTGTCTTATGAAAAAAAACCCACCCCGAGCACAAATATTCCGTTACTTTCGTATCGAAAGTCGGAACAATGAGCCTTTAATATCAGAACGAGCCTCTTATAAAGACTATTCTTGTCAAAAGGGTGAAACTTCGGTAATTTTTTATAATTAAACGTATTTTGTTTGATAGCCAAAAAATGACCTTTGTTGGTGTTTATAAGAAGATCACTTTGATACAATTTTGTCTGCAATTGACCCGTAGTGTTGGCGTAGTTCCTAATTGATTATAAAACCTTAAAATTTGAGCCCAATTTTTGCTTTATACTTAATCTGCTAAAACTCGAAACAATTTTTGTTTTCACCATTTTTTGTCCAAAGGCAACCTAATATGAGAAAAAAAAACATTTTCGTTTAGTCAGGACAGGATAATTGTGTTCATTTTTTAAATTATACTTTCACACTTCAACTAACAAGTACGTCCTTTAATGTACTACTGGTATCAAACAATTTGCCTCATTCAATTCGGAATGGTTTTTCAGCCATAACAATTGGTTGCTTTAGCTTTGCGTTTACAGAAATTTTTGCGCGAAAAACAAATTGCACAAATATTGCATCTCTTCTTGAAAAACATCAAAAGTTGAGACTTTGAGTAAGATAAAAAAAATTAATTCACGACTTGCTTTGCATTTTTGCAGAATTAATATTTTGCATTTTTTTTTTGCTAAATCCGGACCTTAAATTTTAATTCAAAACTGGATCATTTTCAGTTGGATCACTTTCATTTTCAAGAAGCTTGATACATATGTTTTTTATTGCACACGAAAATTAATGCGCAATAAAGTAGGAATAAGTCAATTTTAGTTATAAATGAAGAAACATAGTTTGAGTTTTTGGTGAAGCAGGATACGATAGAATAAAAGCAAATAAGCTCTCAGTGGTTTCATATAGTTATAAGTAGATTATACTTATACGATTCTTCGATATTCAACAGTATAGATTTCAAAAGGTTTAAGAGGGTTGCTTACAAAACTTTACAAACTAACATTGGCGAGTGATAGCAGCAAAATTTAGCAGTGCGGATGTCGTTAAGATCAGGTCTAAGAAACCACACATGTGAAGCTCAAATTGATCCGAAAGGATAATCACCAGTTATTTCATGCCATGTGACTGGGCTCTTGGATGGATTCATGGATCGTGATTGAAATATGCCAAAAAACACTTTTAAAAAACATGTCACCCTTAAAAGCATGTACGTATAGTAAAGTGTATAAATAAATTTACTGACAAGCGCTTCGTTGTCTTTGACGTAGCATTCTAAAATTTTTTCTAAAGTTTTAAAAAAGTATCAAATACATAATATCATTTCAGTAATTTACTGAGTAACTTTGGAAGACTAGGTTTAGTAAAGACAAGTTTCAGAACTCTGTGTCGGCCGTGCTTTGCTTGTCTTCTTACAGGGGTAGATCTAGGGTTTTTCGAAGGGGGGCGGATTTTCAAAAACCATTCGAAAGTTTTTGGTCGACTTTTTTTTAGGTTCACCAAATATATTTTCTGAGCTCTTCCAAATCACTATAAAGACATTTTTCCATGGATTTCGATTAAAAAATTAGTATTAAGTTAGTAGCTTCCCCTTAAAAATTAGTATATATTCGCGCCTTTAGAAAAGTATATGGGTCAGTCAACCTAAATGGGTATCAGAAAATAGTACCCTTTTGGGTCGGCAAGGGGTCGAAATCCGCTACTGCCTACTTATAAGTTTTGTAGATTTCGACCAAAAGTAATGAACTTGAGTTAGTTTTGGAAACTGCACATTTTTATTGACAGTTTCAGAGAGTTAGTTCATTAGCTGTTCATTGATTGAGTGTTTGATTGTTAGCTCACCTGTGAGGCAGAATGAACTTGGCGAGTAGAACTGAATTGCTGGTGAACCAGGGAGTGACAGTGTAGCCCTGTCTGTTGAGGAGACAGTTGTCCACTATCACTCCCGCCACCTCCTCCGTCTTCATCGGGGGAGTCAGTCGGGGGTACTTCACACGAGCATCCTTAAACACATCCACTGGCATTTAAAAAAATTCAAGGTAGTAGCAAGTTTAAGGACTGCTCAACCCATGTTTTGATCCTGTTCGACTCTAGTAACCCTGTTTTTGTTAGAGCGTTGTCTTAAGTTATGATCGAAAAGCGGACTGTCTTGATCGAGTTACGAGCTGTAAGTTTAAGGTCTGCTTGAATTTTCTGGAGGATAACTATCGTACTTGGGAGTCATGATTGTGAAATCATTGAATTCCTTGGCGTTACCTGGAACATCTGGCTGTCAAAGTGTCCAGGACACACCAGCTGTACGCAAATATTGTCAATATTCTTCAGCTTCAACTCCTGCTGCAGACTCCTCGCAAACCCATTCAACGCATGCTTACTTGTGACGTAAGCAGACGCACCTGGAAACCGAATAGGAGACTAGTAAAGTTTCAAGGACGGTAGTAAATATCACACATATGTGGAAACCAACTTACATTCAAATCTGATACACAATTTGACCACGTTTTAACTAATTAAAACACTTAACGAGAAACTTATCATTTTAAGCCAGTATATATTATCACTTATGCTAGTAGATAAGCCAGTATTTGGCTACTGGGAACAAAATTGAATCGGAAGATATTTCATGAAGGAGTTACCTGGAATAGTGAACAGGCCCAGAACACTGGACACGAATAGAATCTGTCCCCCCTTTGTGGACTCGATCATGCGGGGCAGGATGAGTTTGGTGAGCCAGATGTGAGAGAGCAGGTTCACGTTCAGCACTTGCTCGTACTCTCCGAATAGAGTGTCCAAAGCGTCCTTGTCTTAAAACAATCAAACAATCAACCATCTTCCACAAGTGGTGCAACATCAGAAATATTCGTTTCGGAGAAAATGATTCGCATTTAAGGACGGTCACTAGCTTACTAGCTGAAGCTATTACTCTAATTTATTTGCTGAAAAATCTTTATTATTTTTTAAAGCTTTCTCCCCCGAAGTCGATTGTACGGTTGATCTGTTTGTTTGATTTGGATACTATTTTGAAACTCTCTTCAGTACACTAGCTATCACACAAGAGAAACTTCAAAAAAGGTGCGCATGCTACAACAGTGCAGTTGGGCGAAACTTCGAACAACCCATAAAATTACAAATGGCATCTAAGAAATTTTTTTGATTTTGAACTCAAATTTCCTCAACAACTAATGTTTTAACCACCAAAAATGTTCAGAAAGTTAACGAGACTGCTCGTATATCAGGGCAAAAGCCTGAATGTTCCGACTGCTGGTACAATTATAATGGGCGGCCCGCATCTAAGTTTAGTGTTAAGTAATCGATTATAGTCGAAAATTATGCAGATTTTGTAGAAATTATAGTAGATTAAAACTGCCAATATTTACATTATCTAACTTTAGTGAGTGTTAGTGAGTGGTACTACGACTTTTCTTTTTTTTACATCCTAAGTCGCAAACATTGTTGCACTTTTGAGGCACTTTTAGGCCTTTTGATAACATGTGCTTTGGTATTTGAATGGTAATAAGTTAACACAGTTTATTTCAAATTTTAAGTGAATGGAAAAAAGCTATTTGTTTCAAGCAACATAACCATAATGAAAACCCGCATTCAGAAATTTTATGTCTCAAAATTTTTTAAAATGCATAATTTATACATAATGTGGCTTTATGCTTTACGATTTGTTAGATGCAAAGTTTGTGTGGATGCCTTCAGTTCCAAATTATAAATTGCAAAGTTGAGTCTGTTTGTATTTGGTGCTGAATCGTATTCACACTTTGTTAGTATATGTAGCTGATTTATTTGTGACTAGTGTTTACCGGTTGATAAGCGTTCGTGGCCTAGAGGAAAAGGCGTGAGACTCTATTTCTCGATGTCGCAGTTTCCAAGCCCATACATAGCAAAATTTTACAAATTCAAGGCTTATTTCAATTTTTTGTTTGTTTCACTTTCTAAAGCTGCTCTCGTTAGTGTTTGCGAAGCGCAGCTTCGCCTCCATGTAATTTTTAAAAATATATCTAATCAATAATTATCATGACCTTTTCCAAGATATGACAATCTTTTTTAATCGCTTATAATTGGTTTTTGATCCTTCAACAACTTCTTTCAATCCGTTATAAAAAACTATACTCTCGTATTTTGCCTCAAGTTTTTACCAAAAGATTATAAACTTAGGTTTAAAATCGAAGTGTCTCAATTTGAGAGGCTAAGATATTGTATTTAACTAATATTCAAGTTTCAATGCCTGAACACAAATTTTCACCACGGAAAAAAGTTTCGAAGAGAAATTTTCTTATCAGTTGCAAAAATTTTTACGGTGAGTATGCTGAAAAAAAGTATGCATCCTTAGCAAGTTTTGAATTTTAATGAGAAAAAATTAAGCAAACATGTTTTACATTCAAAGTTCGCTGAAACGGTTATCTAAGTTTCACGCGAGCCAACACCTATGAAATTTTTAAAATGTGAGCAACTCAAAGGTGCAAAGTCGAAGACAGTATGGACGAATTTAAGGGACTATGATTGATTGCAATTGAGTAAATAGATTATGTTTCATGGCAAAAAAATTTAAAAAAAAAAGTAATCAATTGCAATTGATTTCGTTTGTATTAATAAACTGATGGAAATGCAATCAATACCAAACAAAATTTTTTTAAAAGATATTTTGAAAAAGATAGAGAGTGAACAAGTTTTGAATGATTTTAATAGGTTCCTTATCAATATTACAAAAATGGGTACTGAATTCAAAATATGATTGATTGTTAACGCTTAGAACTTGATACAGGGTGAGCCTGAAATTACAATAGGACCTTGACAAAAAAACGGTCACAGATCTGAAATTTCCCATGAAATAAAAAACTGCTGTTCAGTACTATGCTACAGTATAGTTAACATTACGAGGCCAAACTGAACATTTTGCGAATCCAAAGAGAATTCCACAATGATGGCGCTCCTTTTGTTCTGCTTTCGTTCTTTCATTTTCTTTGATCGTTCCGACAAGAAATTAACATGCTTACGACTTGTCTCTGGAATCCAGATACATACAGACACAAAATTTTGTGCGTATCCAGTGCACAGTTTGGCCTCGTAATGTAAACAAATTGAAATTTTTTTTAGCTCATCATTTGTGAATCCGTCACCGTATGAATGTGGAATTTTTAAAAAGTTTCAGCAAATTTGAGTTTGGGCTTCAATAAGTTAACCCAATAGATCGTTTCGGTATTACAAAATACGTTGAAACACGCAATTTAATTTATTAAAACAGTATGAAAATACACTTCCATATCCACAATATGCTCATTCAAAGTGCTTTGCAGGATGTTTGAAATGCACAGGCACTCTTTTTTTAAAGTATTCTGCCAGAATTGGTGTCAATGTCTATGCGTGACATGTTTCTTATAGCAAAACTTTCTAGAGTTTTTGGTAAAATAAATTTGAAACGTCTCAGAAAAAAACATGACCAATTAGCTTGATTTCATTTTGGAACAATTTTGTGTGCGGAATGATGATTTGGGTAACGTTTTAACTATTATAGATAGAATGATCAAATTCAAAACCGAGCAGATTACGTAGACATCAAAAGCATTCAGAATAGTGCGTAGTATACACGTTTGGGTGCACGCTTAGGTGCAGGCTTAGGCGCACGCTTAGGTGCTTTTTTCAGCAATAATGATTTAAAACCAGTTACAAAAATTAGAAATTCCCAGAAGAGTAGGATAAAATTTTGTTTTTTAAAAAAGGGTTATAAAGTATTTTTGTTAGATTTACTGGATGAGTATTCAGAAGCCTAATACGTCAAAAAAAAAAGATTTTTAAAATTTAATATTCCATATTGCAATCCGCCGCTAAGTTAACAAGATCCAAAAGTTCTTTGATATGAGACATGAATTTAATATATACTGCAATTTCGGCAGAGAAAGCATGTCCATAGCATTTCAGTTCATTAGATTTTCTCTAAGTACCATTTTTAGTTGCTTTACCTAACAGTTTGTACATTAGAGCACCTACAAGTGAATAAGAGATTGCAGAAAAAAGCAAATATAATCTAGCCAACTCAGCGACAAATTTTCTTAATACCTCCTTTAGTCTTAGATTTTGTGCTGCTTCCACTTAAAATTGGCGCCTGAAAAAATAAAAATAGCGACTTCATTTGCAACAATGATCAATCTGCGTGATTAGATTTTGTGTTTCTGGTCTTTTGATTCACTCTACCTTAATATTGCTAGATTACCTAAAAAAGTACAAAGTCAAAAAGACAAAAAGTTGAGCTCGCTTCCATCGCAAAATTAATTTTCTAACCAACTAATATTTACTTGAGAAATGAGTATTGAATGAAATGAGTGTGCACACTCTCATTATGGCACTCTGTAAGCTACAAACCAAAAACTTTTTAATTCGGGCCGCTCAGTTTTTTTGTTGTGGGGGGGGGGGGGGGGGGGAGGGGGTTGGGGGTGATGAACGATTGGGTGTTGGGTGATGCAAAATTAGAACAACTAACCGAATGCGAAAAAGTTGATTTTTTTTCACATTTTCAAGTAAGAGTATTTATTAGACGAACGGAAAAAGAGAAAAAGGAATTGACAAAAAAACGTGACAGTGAAGCGTGCTCATTTTTCTGCCAGTGCTTGATAATTAGCGTGACTATACAAAAGTTTACACGACCAGAAATCGATTTAATTTCAAAGAAAAGACAGATAAAGTTGCAACGAGCAAATAGGAAGCAACCGTTTTGTTTCAACTTTCGACGATACTAGCGGATTATATATGCTCGAATGATTTTATAAAGATCAAATTTGGCAATAGAAAGATTAAGACTGATAATTTCCAATGACGAAGCCCTGAATGTTCCGATTGTTTTTAAAGTTGAAGGAGTAGCGTTCACTTTTTAAAAATGGATGAAACTTTCAGAAAAAAATGAAAAAACTTGGGGTGTGGGGTGATGATTTAAGAAAAATATAATTAAAAGTTATTAAATATCGTTTTTTCCTGATAATTTCCGCCCTAAACGCTATGTATAAAACAAAGTAGTATAATTACAGTTATAAAAGCAAAGTATCAAATAGACCAAATTGCCTGCCTCAATTCAATTTAGAGCTATTTTTAATACGGATTCATTTTCCGCTTACGCGTTAATAGCATGAATCATAGCGCGCCTCAATTGTCCTAAATTACTCAAACTGAAAATCTTCAAACCCTGAAAAAATTACAAAAAATGATCAACAAAAAATGATGACCACAAAAGGTAAAATATCTTTTTCATATTGAGCTCAAGCCAATAATACCTTTGAATAAAATTAGAAAGTCAGGTCAAAAGTTGTGAGTTAAAAAGTCTACATTTGTCTGGAGAAAAAATTACCCGAGCACAAATAATCCGTGACTTTCTCCGAAAGTCAGAACAATAGCTTTGATACAAGTTTTTTATACACCAAATGAGATATCGGCTCTTCAAGTTTAATAATTAGTCTGCGCTCATCTTTTTGTAAAGTAAAGGAAAGTTGAAACTTCTTGTAATTTAATGAAGATTTACAAGTTTTTGGTAAAAATCATCCCCCACACGACATATGAATTACAAATTGATAGAGTTTGCTCCGAGTAACGCAGCAATAATGACAAAAATCCTGCTTCGCTCAGTTTTGAACAATTTCTGAGACGGATTTAATCTCCGCCTACGCTTTAATAGCGCAAAATACATGGCGCGTTAATAGTCCCAGGTTAGCCATATGGGCAATTTATAAGCCATTATAACTTAACAAAAAATGATCACAAGTAAAATATTTGTTTTTAAATTTGAACTCAAGAAAACAATAGCTTTAGGATG